ACACTGTAAAAATTTCTACCAGATTTTTGGATCTTTTTATTGCACTTAGCACTAAATGCCTTGTAATAGGATATTTATGTTCTAATCATGTCCTCTACAAGAGTGTAAGGGGCTTACAGTTAGTGTCCTTGTTTCATTTTCTTTCTCTTACCCCTACAGCAGTGTTTGACACAGTATCTTCCTTGATGTTAACAAGTTTTAAGAGGAATTTTTTTTAAAAAGTCTCTACTCATATAAGAACAGGAAAATTGGGCTATGAAAAATTTAAACCATTTTTTAAAATTAATATCCTATGACTCTTCCAAGGTTGGATAAGTTCGGATGCAATCTCTAAACTTATTTGATTGCCTATTAAACTGTCTTGTCATTGCCACAATAAAGATACAGAACATTCACCCCACAAAGACCCCTTGGTGACTCTCTGACAGTGAATCGTTCCCTTCCCCCGAACCCAGAGCCATTGCTCAGCCTTCTGTACGCACAGAATCATTTTTCCAGCCTTGGGATTTTATACTGATGGAATTGCAGTACACCCTCTTCTGTACCTGTCTTTCTTCACTGAGGAAAATGTCTTTGAGATACTTGTCGTTGATAAAAACGAATTCACTTTTATTGCTGAGTTCTGTTCTTTTTTAAAATTTATTCTGGAATATTATGGGGGTACAAATGTTTAGGTTGCATACATTGCCTTTGCCCCACCCAAGTCAAAGCTACAAGCGTGTCCATTCCCCAGATGGTGCGCACCAAGCCCATTAGGTGTGAACATTCCCATCCCCTCCTCCCCCTCCCATCTGTCTGACACCTAATGAACGCTACTACCGTGTATGCACAGAAGTGTTGATCAAACAATGCCAACTTGATGGTGAGTACACGTGGTGCTTGTTTTTCCATTCTTGTGATAGTAGAATGGGCTCCAGCCCCATCCAGGATAATACTGAGTACTGTTCTATCTGGCGAAAAAGCCACATTTGTTGATCGATTCTTCTTTTAGTGGGCATCTGGGTTGATTTCAGTTTTGGCTGAAATCTATTCAGATTAAGTATTAATCTTCTATTGAGTGTAAAGCTATTAGGTATAAAGCTGTTACGTACAAGCCTTTATTGACTGTTGGTAAATCCTGAGAGGTAGAACTATCGGTAACATATATTATCTGTATATTTAATTGCGTGAGAAACTTCCAAATTATTTTCCATTCCCACCCGAGATATATGAGATTTCCAGTTCCACATCCTAATTAGCCCTTGGCGTTAACTGTCCTTTTACTTTTAGTCATTCTATTGCATTGGAATATTTTATTTCAGAAATTTTATTTTTCAACTTCAGAATTTTCATTCAATTCTACTTCATTGTTTCTACTCTGTGAAAACATATTATTTCTCATTCATTGGAAACATATTTTGTTTAGTAATTAAACATAGATATAATGGCTGCTTTAAAATTGTTTTCTATTAGTTGAGATTTCTGGTTCATCTCAGGATCAGACTTGACTGATTTTCTTTTCTCCTGAGAATATGTTCCATTTTCCTAATTCTTCATATGCCTGGTAACCCTGGATTCTATTTGGGGTATTATGAATATGAACTTGAGTAGATTCTAGATTCTGTTACGTTTCTCTGATGGGCACGGTTTCCTCTGTGTAACAGAGGATCATTTTCTCAGCTAGGTGTTTGGGCTACAAACTCTAGTTCTCGAGAGGCTGCTGTGGTCTTAGCTGAGATGGTTTCACTTCTGCCGAGATGTTTTTAGTCTCTCGTGCGTGTGCGTGTTTCAGGAGTCAGTCAGAGAGGTGGGTGGGCACATGTGGGTGGTCCCCTCTCTGGATCTTTCTCCTATGGGGCTTCCTAGGGTCCTTGGGATCATTGTGTCCTAACCTCACTTCCAGGTGCCCCTGGCCAGAAAGACTGGGTATTTTCACATCTATCTCACCACCCCTGAGCATGCCACAGGGACTGCGTTTCGTCCGGGCTACAAGCAAAAGAGCTTTTATAGTTCCTGGTCTCTAATCCATTCAGAAGTTGTGCAAGCCCACCAGAGTCTCTCTGCTCCTGTCATTCCCCCAGCCCCCACTGCCTGCTGGGGCTTGGCTGTTTGTGCTGTGTCCACGGTTTGCAGTTGCCTTCCGCAGTGGGTCTGGCAGGGACTTAGAAGCAAACATTCATCCATGGAGTAGCTCGTATTTTCACTCTCATGGTATCATTGGAGGAACAGAGTTTCTTAATTTGAATAGAGATCAAGGTGTCAATTGTTTGCTTTGTCATTAGTTCTTACTGTTTTCTATTTATCTAACCCAGGTAACTGGACTCCCTGCCATAGATTCTTCTAGAAGGGTCAGTGCTTCAACTTTCTCATTTAGAACTACAGTTAACCTGAATTGATTTTTGTATAATGTTGAGTTATTGATCAGAATTTTTTTTTTTTTAACCAGTGAAAACACTTTAAGATCCATTTAAACTTTTTTATTTCAATATGGTCATTTAAGTATAGTTCAGTGTGGTTAACGACATGGAACAAAGTTTCAAACAATGCTAGATGTGGACCCATAATTTTTAAACCTCATTTATGATTAGAACTAACTCAAATTTGTTCACAGTAGATACAAGAACCAAGAATTGGTTGTCACCAATTAATCAGTCTCTAATTTAAAGTACCAAACTATGTTGGACTGCTAAAATGACATCAACAAAAAATGTTTTGATCAAATTAACTATTCTCAGGCAACTCAATTAAGTTTCTGAAGCCAAGCATGTAATTAAAATCCTTTCCTCTCTGGCATATATACTTTACACATTAAGTATGCTTGAAATAGTTTCTATTTTATGAATTAAAATAGAATAATCTTTACTCCTCTCCCTTTATGAATGAAGATCTGACCATTTATAAATTTAGCAATCAACTTAGACACTTTGTTTCACCGTATTACAAAATAGTAAAACTGTATCAAATTATAAAAGTACCCTACAGTCTGTATTCTCTCTTTCCTATTCTTTTAGACATCTTCTGTGAATAACAACAAAAAAGAAGGCGGATGGAAAAGGGTTGAGATTAACAGTTGAAAAATAGAATTAATAATCAAAAAAATTAAAAAGAGTAATGATAGATATGACATTAATATAAAGAATAAATAAAACACAATTCACAAGTAAAATTTAAAGTAAATATGTATTATGTTTTAATACAAAGCATGGCTCTATAAAATAATTTTTTCCATATCACTTACCATGTGCCTGAAATGCAGATTCTTGACATCACCTGTATTAAATTTTACATTTTTTGTCTTACCCTTCTACCCCCAGCTGTAGTATGTTTCCAAGTGTGATTAATGATGGTAAGTGTACAGCTAGAAGAAAGAATCTCATAGATTGGCAACATAACAAGGGTTATTATATAGCTTGGTCCCTAGATGTAGATGGCATTTTGATAAAATTAGCTGGGTAATTTGCATGTGTTCATTCTATCTGCATGACCTTAATAATGCATCTTATATAGGAAAAAAATCTCAATTCGGAGAACTGTATCAACAACGTACTTAAAATCTCTTCACACCTGCACATCGTCATTGATCACAGAATTGCATTACAAGTAGGACTGAAAAATAAAATCCATAAAATAAGTTTAAATATACATGAATAATCTGAGACATAAATAAAGTGTAGCCTATTTTACATTGGTCTTCACATACATTTTCCCTTTTTCCCTTGTGTCTGTATGTCTTTTTCCAATTAAGTGAAGAAAAAAAGATGACGTGATGGCTCATTTTCTGTGTCACCTTGATGGGGCCATACGGTGTCCAGATATTTGGTCAAACAATATTTCGGTGAGTGTTTTTGGGTGATATGAGCATTTACATCGGTGGACTTGGAGAAAAGTGGATTGTCCTCCCTGATGTGGGTGGGCTTTTTCCTTCTTTCAGACTCACTCCAAAACATCGGTGCCTTCCAGGGTCTTGAGCTTGCAGCCTTTGGATTGGAGCAACATGCTCAGCTCTCCATGTCCCCAGGCCTTGGATTCGGACTGGAACCTGCCCGGCCGCTGCCCTGGGCTCCAGCTCGCTAACTGCAGATCCTGGGACTTCTCAGCCTCCATCATCTCGTGAGTCAGTTCCTGGTTCTGACCCAGTACCAGTGGAAGCTCCAATCAATCTAGTCTAGACTGACTAATCTAGAGCAAATGGGAGCCCATCAGGTGTAGAAGGGCATGATTAGGAAGTGGAAATTGTAACACATCGGGCGAAACAAAAGAAGTCCATGAGTGTTTGTCTGGCACCATTTTTAACACGTGGGGAACAAAGAGAAATACATAATATGACCACTTTCCCCTAACTCTCTAATTTCAAAAAGCAGACAACAGACGTGCATATATTAAAGGTCTTTGGTTAGGTAAATGCGATAAATGTGAGAAAAAAATAGCTTACAAATGTATGTTGCTAATTTCCTATACAGAAGCACAATATCTTTTGAGTTTAGGATGTAGTTTATAAAATCGAACTAAAAAAAATTTCTGAACATTTCTTTGTGATTCTGCTCAGCGGAGCACGTTTACCTCTGGTGTACCGCTAGACCCAGCCATAGCCTGCAGAGGTCATTAGCCCACACACCTTGGTCACAGCCTTGCTTTACCTCTAGGTTTTGAAATCAAAACTCGTGTTCACAGGTTGTAGCGCGCATCTGCGAGTGAAATCCAAGTTCAACATTCTGCTCGACTCTTTTGGATTCCCACTTTTACATTGTTTTCAGTTTCTCAGATGTCACTTTATTGACAACCGAGTACTGCAATGTGTGTGTGTGTGTGTGTGTGTGTGTGTGTGTGTGTGTGTGTATTTTCTTCCAGCATTCTCTGCTGTTTTCATTAGAATGGCTTTGTTTGGGGTATCTGAAACCTATCTTCCACTTTTTTTTTTACCCACATTCTTCTCTCTTTTCCCAGAGCTTCCTATCAACATTTTAGGTGTGGAACAATGTTTCAGATAATTTCCTTCTGTCCTCTGTCCACTGAGATGAACTTTCTCCAGCACTTCCAGATAAGATAAACGAATATATACAGTGAAGTAGCCAGTATAGACATTAGCGTCGTCATCTACAGGTAAAGTGTCCACGATTAGAGTCATCACTAGGTTCAATTGTGGCAGAGTCCTTTTACGGCCTTGAAGCTCTCTTTTCTTCTTCTATTAAACGAGGATATGAGAATCAAGTGAGATAATATGTGTGAAACAGCTTCATTCCATCCAATGCACCCTACGAATACAAGCTATTATATTTTTTCAACTAAAAATTCTTTAAAGCCTAAAATGATGTAAGCCAAAGGCATATGTGATGGGGATAGTTTGAAAGAATTATGTAAATTTTTGAGGAAAGATTTTTTTGTTTGTTTGTTTGTTTATCAAAAGGTCACTGGGCTTTTAGCACTTCCTCTAAGTCCAGTCTTGAGAATCTATTGCCTTATCCTGCCTGCACATACATGTCTAGAGAACATGTTGTACACCATAAATGCATCTGTCCTCACGCATATTTCTAACAGGCAACAAAGGAAATCTCCTTGGTAATGTAGCTCTTTCATCTCAGCACTGAAACAGAATCATCTACCACAGTTAATTTCATTCCCAGAATTTTTTATAATAGCAGGACAGCTGCTCAGCATAACTTTTCCTGTTGCTTTTCAATTTATAGTGCATATGATAAAATGGATTTGGAAGTAAAGGCCAAGAAGCTAGTAGATGAACTTTATGGAATTCAATTTGATCGTTCCGGGGGCTTATTTTTCATTTGAACATTTTAGGTCTCCTGGGCATTGCCTTTGAGTATCAGTTTCCCAACCCGATTTAAGATACAACTTTAAAAATAAGCTGTAAAACAATAATTATCTGAAGAGCTACTTTAAAAATCTTGTTTTTTCATTGGTAAGATGTGTTTGGGAAAAGGGTGGATCCTGTTGACATAAACCTGTTATTTTTTGCCCATTATGATAATGATAATTTTCAAGCCAAATAGTCTGCTTGAAATAGCCAGATCTACTGCTAAGAAATGAAATACTCAAATACACCAACATTAATATTTGGCAGAAAAATCCAATCTCTTTAACCATTATGTTGCATGTAAAAATATAAGAAAGTCTACAACCCAGAATACTAAAGGAGGAGAGATAAAGAAGTCATTTGCATGGGTGTGTAAATGGAAGTTAACCTAATAATAGGATTACTTATACAGGTTTCACGTGTAGCTTGACAAATTATAATTATAAATACGTGACGTCCAATTCTTGCATCTGTAGATAATGGCCAGAAGTGGGAAAAGGTTGCAGATGGTAAAGATCAGCCTGAACCACAAGTTCTTTCTCTCGAAGCAATTTCAGAAAACAGAGTTTACATTATTCATATTGTTTAAAATGCCAAAGATCAGCCAAACTTCGATCTCAGCTGGCCTCTAACACCTGGTTTTTAACCACATCATTTTCCTTCCTTCCTTCCTTCCTTCCTTCCTTCCTTCCTTCCTTCCTTCCTTCCTTCCTTCCTTCCTTCCTTCCTTCCTTCCTTCCTTCCTTCCTTCCTCTCTCTTTCTCTCTTTCTTTTTTTCTTTCTTTTTCTTTTTCTTTTCTTTTCTTTTCTTTTTTTGCTGGTAGGATGATAAGCATTTTGAAATTCATAAAGCTTCGTTCCATGAATTTTAACTGTGGGTGGATCCCGGAATAGTGATACAAGTGTGCTGAGAAATCCCGTTAACTTCGGGGTTCAATGACTTATATCTGCTTTTCAGAAGGAATTGCTTCTTTAGTTATGATTTGTCCAAATCACTTTGAACATGATAGCGGTGGAGCAAGAAGGCCATTTGGCAGAAAAGCGCCTTTACTCTACACCCTGTTTCCAGGGCACATAAGATCATCACTCAGATGTGAGGTGAAGACACTTTCCCTGCGCGGGAGCCAACTGCGACATCTGGCACTGCTAATCCTGAGCCTCCACCGACTCTTCATGTTTGAGAATGTGCACATTTCCCCTCCTTTTATGTTTCATTTCACAGGCTCCTGAAGCCAAGCACATTGAGAAGGACTATTCTGTAATCATTTTGATTTATCTGTAAGCAGGAGGTTTGCAAAATCCCTTAAGAACTCATCCTCATAGATTTGTAGCTCAATTAAGCAGATTCAATTAGTCTGCAAAGACTGGCTGAAGAGCACAGAGGACTCAAATCCCAAAGATACCAGCATCTCCTGCGGTTTATTATTTTTTTTTAAAAAAAGTCTCCTTTACTTGCACAGATACATTTTCTTTGAAACATTTTGGAGAGGGAGCTGCACATCCGAGGTGGGCTGTAACTACAGGTGGGTTTTGCAGCCCCGAATTTTCTTTGTGCTTTGTCTTTCAGGAACGTGGGCGTAGGGTCAGGCCACATGACAAATACCCTCATTATTTTATGTTTAAAAGACTGAAAAATCTTTTAACTCACATCTGGCCAGATGAGAGAGTGAGAGACAACCACGTCTGAGACCACCACCGCAGCCGTTCCCAGGCATGTCAGACATGATGGGAACTAATGAGAACTGGAGGTCACACTTGGTGCCAGGCACAAAGGTAAGTTTTATGTGCTTTACATACTATGCTTCCCACTTCTTCCCTGTGAGGAAGGTCTGGAGAAGAAAAAAAAAGGCTTAGGCAATTTTTTTAAAAACATGAAAATAGGAGAGAGATAGAGAGAGAGAACAAAGATGAGGAGAGGAACAGCATGCTCAAGTGCACACAGGTGCACATTAAACATGCTAAACAATTCGTCCAAGGTCTCGTGGCCAGTAGCATTGCCAGGACAAATTCGTGGATTGCCTGATGCCAAAACCTACGTCTTTAAAATTCTTTCTGCAAACCCAGGGCCCTGTGGCAGATACTGGTGTGATGCCTCTTAACTTTTGGACACATAGCGACGCACATTTTCCAGTCCCCCCTCCAGTTAGAGGTAGTCATGTGGGTTCTTGACAGTGGAAAAAGTTATTGCTTCATGGTCCAGCCAATAAGGCCTTTTCCGCCGAATCTTCTCTCTCTTTCCCTGTTTGGAAGCTGCACGAGGAGCTCCAAGGCCACAAAAGAGGGTTAAGGCACCCAGGAGAAGGGCCTTGGGCCCCTGGAACATTGCACAGAGGCTTTCCTGGGGACAGGGGCTGGGGGTGCCACATCAGCAGGCTGTAACGTCTGTTGGGTGAAGCCGCTGGGCTCTGGGGTCTTTTGCTACAGAAGCTAGCTGCCCCTGGCTAATGCAACCCCAAATGCAGTCATGTGTCGCTTAATGGCGGGAACACATTCTGAGAAATGCATCCTCAGGCTATGTCGTCGTTGTTCAAACATCAGAGTGCTCTTACACAACTAGACGGTACAGCCTGGGCTACTGCACACCTGGGCTATTGCACACCAGCGCAGCAGGTGACTGGACCGAGTACTGTAGGCGGTTGCAACACCATGGTAAATATTCGCATATCTAAACATAGAAAAGGCACCGTGAAAGTACAGCGTTATAACCTTACGGGACCACCGTTGTACATGCAGTCTGTCGTTGACCAGAAGGTCATTACGTGACACGTGACAGTAGACAGAGCAGAATGGTGTATCCCAACCTCCCCTGGCCATATTCTCAGCCCCATTTGCCCTATCTGACAATCCAGTTTGATGAGGTACGCTACATCCTACAAGGCTGTCAGCCTCTTGCGGGCATCTCCATCTCTGAAGACTGAATCCTGGAGACTTCCCAACAGGGGGAATGGCATAAGGAAGACCCTGACCCTCCCCGCAAGTCATGCCGCGTAGGGGGTTGCCTACTTGCATACTGGGTGGGCCAGTTGTATATGTCTTCCATTCTGTTTTCTGTCCATAGCTAAAAAGACAAATAAGTAGAAAATCAAAGGGATTCATCTATTAGAGTCTTAAAACTGTATCACGTGTGAATGCGAGCAGAATGTCACTTGTCATATATTATTAAATTTAAAGCTACAAGAGAAAATGAACTCTCCCCTAAGCTTTCCCAATATAGACAGATATTTCTATTCTCAGTGGAAAAGCTAAAGAAATAGGCATCTCCCAAGAGTATTCCAGCGAGAGCTTCACCTCCTCATAGATGTCTGCAATCTCGGCCCTTGAGTTGAGTTCCCAAGCCAATAAATTATATTAATTAATTACACCCATAGGAGGATAGTGCTGCCTTGTTGCTATTATGGCTATTAATCCAGTTACTTCCGTGAATTCTGTTAGCTGCGCACTTTTTTTTATGGATATGAATTTATCTTCACAGTAACCTGTGAAGGCAGACTGGTGATGACTTTTATGAACACCATTTTGGTGATGAAAAAACCAGAAAGAGAAGTGGGGAGGCATTTCCCAGCCAGGGTAATGCCGAAGATCTAAAAGCACTGTTGGATTTGGAACTCAAAGGGCTGCAGTTGTTGTGCACTTAGGCAATAATTCGCACTCAGTGATTCCTATGGGTTTTTGGACAAAATCCCTGTTGTAGAGAAAGATTTTTTTCCAAGGTCAAAAAAGAAAAATCCTAATGGCCTTGCTGATTGAGGTAGATTCAAAAGGTCTCAAGTTACGACTTTATTTTTTTATTCTTTCTCTGCGTGCGAATGTCTCAAAGGAGCAGTTACTAAAAGGAGGCTCAGTGTGAAATGAGTTTCAATATGAATCTATATAGTGTGTAGAAAGGTTTCCCCATATTCATAGCATATCACTGTGAGTTTACTTCTGTTTCTTAATCATGGGGAACACTTGAGCATGGTAATTCAGAATTGCTCAAGGAGAAGAATCACTGTCGCAGCTAGACTTTGCACTAAATGTGCCATGACTTCAAGCTGTGTTTCTTTCTCTGTGTGCGTATGCAAAATGAAAGCCAACCTCTGTAATGTGACCTTCTGGGTCCCCAGTGACTCGTTCCCAAACTGTCTCTTGAACTATGCATTGGGCGCAGACAAACATGTTCTAAACTGTGTACAAATCACCCTACTCTTCACGCCATCGACTCTCTGAACTCTATCTTTGTACATTCAATTATGTTTATCCCATCCTCTTAGAATACCTTTATCTTCATATTAGTCTACATTGCAGAGTCTCTTTTTGTCTTTAAAATATCTGCCTTAAAATAACCGCAACTTCTCTTGAATTCCCAAATTATCTTTGTGGGGTCATTCACTTCGTTGCTTGCTTCTCGTAATGTTTACCAATGGCTTGTATACCCTCGGAGCAGAAACACTGCCATGCTCAGGTTTTCTTTTTATTTTCTATAAAACCTAGCGATATGTTTTATATTTAGCAAGTGCTTATTAATCTTGTTTACCTAATTTTTCATGAAACTTTTCCAAACCTTTTCTTACCTAAATGAGGTGCAGTTAGAATTAGAAAGAGATACGCATTCTTCATAGAACATAAAGGGGGAATACGTATATTTGGTGGCACTGGTTATTTTGGATTAAGGAAAATTTTAATTTGGATTCAACTATCTTTGTTTATGTGTTTTATGTTTTTAGTGGTCCTCCCTCCACTGTATGTAGGTTAGGATTTCAAGTTTTCCAGAGAAGTTCTTAACATGCCAGATGATATTTCTCTAGGTCTTTACCTGTGTTCTCTTGCTGACTATTTGAAATGATACCCACATACCACTAATGCCAGAGATTTTCCTGAAGAGTCCCTTTAGAAAGATTAAAGGATATATTCTTGTTAAAAAATGAGCAACTATAACAAGGATGACTAGCTTAACCTCTCCTAGAAAAAAAAAATATGTACACCCGAAGTCATTAGGAGTGGAAGAAAATGTTTACTGTAAGTTACTATAGTGAGAAGAGCTATCACTCCAAGAAGCATATTTTTAAAACGCAGGTGATTTCAGGAGTTCATCTAGTTGGTTGCATTACTGAGATATCTCCGCATTAGATGGCCTCCAAACCTTTAATCTTCCAGGACATCCTGTCCTTGGAGATTTTTATAAAATTGCTCAAATCTCCATCCCATATTTGATGGAAAATCAAATACTTTCCCATATCCCAATTCTTTGGAGAATTGGGGTGAAGTAGAGTGAGGCTGCTTGAGTGAAGGCTGTGGTACTTGTCCTGTATACTTGTAACTCCTCTGATTCAGACATTTACAGATGTTAGGGCTTCAGTGTGATCAATCTGTATTTAAAGACACAAAAATACATCCGACAAAAAGAGGGTATAGAGAGAAAGTGTGCTGTTGTTAGTATTGCACTAGACTCTAACCACAGTTAATACAAGCAAAAAAAAAAAAGGAGTTTTTTTTTTTAAGGATGGGGGGAGGATTTCTGATAGGATTGTGGAATTTAAAGAGCCAGTCCTTAAAACATAGGGACACCAGGCACCCCATAAATCTGCACTCAGAGTGTTGCTGTTGACATGCTTCTGCGGCCAAAGAAATCTGTGCCTATTAATTTTCAGTGTCAAATTCCAAATTCCTGGGAGGAACATGAATGGCCCAGATTGGAATAAAGGTTCTATAACTAGAAAGATGTGGGTTTTTTTTTTTTTTTCTATTTTATAACTAAGCCCCGGAGGAACAGAATAAGCTATCCGAATCCCACTGTCCTGCCTGTGGAGTCTGAGGTGGGGAGAAGGGAACCGCTGTGCCCTGGGGGGGCCTCCTGGGAGGTGTCTGACATCGAGAAGGTTTAGTTTCCCTCCTCTCTAGACACAGGAGGACACTCAGCCTCTGTAGAGTGGAGGGCCGTGCCCAAAGCTGTGTGTCACTAGAAGAAAGGTCTCCTGATCTGCCCTACCTGGAGATGATTAGAGAATTTACATTACAAAGGTTAGAGGGATGAGTGGAATGTTAAATCATCAGGCCTTCAAGGAAGCAGGGAAGAATTCTGTTTCTTGAATTTACAATCTGAGATGGCAATTCCAGTGTACAAAACACAAATGTGGTCTATCCACTTCCCTGCACCACCCCTCAGCAGCGGCAAGCCATGGGAATGAAACATGTTGGGCAGAGGAATAAAAATCATCACCTCTCATCCTTTCATCACCTTCCCAGACCATAAACTCCATCATCATGGAGAATCTAAGATCTCCACTTGATGTACCTGACCTGTGGCCCAGTGCTCAAGGTGAGACAGAGATCCTAGCAAGACTGTCCACAAAGCCAAACTCCAGAGCAGCAGCCCCCAAGCCAATGGGGATTCTGTTTAGACGTGAGATTATTCGGGTGCTTTCTGAGGCCTGTGATATCAGAAACCCTGGGGGGCCAGGCCCGGATGTCTAACAAGCCTTCCAGATAATTCTGACACAGTTAAAGTTGAGAACCACCGCTTCTAGCCTGTTGATACTGCCTTTTAAAACACTACCCCCAATAAGTACTTCTTTTATGTATAGCTTATTTTATTTATTTTTAGGTGAGAGAACTTACAGAGTACCTTCTATATGTCCAGTGCTATTCTGAGTGTTTTAGAAACAGTAACCCATTTAATCTTCATGTCGGCCCTATGGCATAAGAGCTACGTTATATTTTCAGCCTAACAGGGAGAGAAACTGAGGCACTGAGCGGCTGGATCACTTTTCTTCCAGTGAGTGGAGGACCTGAGCCCCATGCCAAGAAGCCTGACTCTAGGGCCTGCCATCTGTCAGGAGCAGGACGCCAGGGAAGACCACTGTGGCCACCCTCAGCCCATAAGGTATCCTTCTCACCTCTCACTTTGAACACTCATTTACCATCTTACCACTCATCCTCTGCCCTCACTTCTCGTGTCAGGAATCTCCCACCTGTGCCTTGGCAGCACTTGCTCTAGTCCCCCGCTACCAGGATGCGGTGTGGCCATCAGCCCGTGGCATCATGTCACCTGGGAGCTCGTTACAGATGCAGAATCTCGACCACTATGGACCTGCTGGAGCTGGATCTGCACCGTGGCAAGACCCTCGACGGAATCAAATGCACCTTAAAGCTCTTCACGCACGGGCCTCCCACGCACGGCCTCATCCCTATTCCTCCAGGGATAAGTCCACCTCCAGGATGCAGGAATCAGTCCAGGAGCACTGATCTGGGAGAAGCTGAACACCCATAGTCAATTCCCCCCGCCCCCAGCCACAGTTACTGTCTTCAGTTAAGAACGTCATGCAAGACAAGGCGGTGAAGCAACTGAAACTTGAGGCCTAAAGTTTTATTTGGGTTCTTTGAGGAGAGATGTTCTCTTCCTCTAGACTGGGTGCCATGGTGGCATGAGGCTACAGACAGCAGATTCCACCCTACAGAGCAGAGGACAGAGCCAAACAGGCGACACGGAGCCCAGGGACACAGACGGACCCTGAATCCAGGTGTGTCTAGAACCAGCTCCTTCTCCCAACTTCTCAGGTTCGTGAGCCAATAGCTTTCCTTTCCTTACTGGACACAGGTTCGGTCTCTTTGTTGCTTTGTCAAGTGCGATAAAACATGGGTACTGATACAACATCCGCTAGACTCATTTGGTATCTTATTAGATATTACTTTGGACTATTAATAAACGCCCAGGTAGCTTGCTTTTATCTCTCCAGATAAATCTTAAGTTCCTTGGGAGGATAATGCTACCTTCCAACTTATTTTGTAACTGCTATGACACTTTGTATAGCACAAAGTAGTGAATACATCACCTTATACTGAATACAGAAGAACGGGTTTAAGAATATTAACTTATGGTGTTTAGGACAGTCAGAGGAGGGGGGACACTAATTCATCAAATATTCACTGTGCACAGTCCAGGTGTGTAGACCAGGTTGTGCATTAGTGGAGCAGAGGTGGTTAAACGGTGCTTCCGGACATCAGAGATGCTACAGGGTGGTGGGGAAAATCATGGAAACTTTCTTTTAATTTTCAACACGTGTGGTATAATCCTCATAGCACCCTCATGCACTATACATAGGAGCTGCCGTTTTATAGGTGGAGGTAGAAAGCGGATGGATTAAGCAACTTAAGGAATCTGAATGGTAAAAATCAGAAGTGGATTTGAGTCCAAGCCAGTTTAATTCAAAAGACAACTTCTTCCACTACACCCTGCTGTTTTTGGCCTCTCTGAGCATGCATTCCTTTTTTCTGGGTGTGGGGCAGGGACCTCTCTGGAATGGGGGGTCCTATGACCTGTAGTCAGGCAAGAGAGGTCACACAATTTCTTTATGGCCAGTTCTTCCCCCTCCCCCACCCGCCTCCCCCACAGAAAGGCAAAAGGAAAGTTACAATAACATGTTTTAGGTTTTATACCTGGCTTTGGGGAAAAGGGGTTCTGGTTTCCAGGAGCTGCCTTGGGGAGGAGAGATTCTAGTTTCTGCGGCTGCTTGGGCTGGGGGCAGAGTGGGACTGAGAGACAGGAGAGCGGGAGAAGGGCAGAGAAAAACTTTTGCTTCCGAAGCCTTCATGTTAGGGCGTTGTTTTCTGAGCCCCAGCCGTGTCCTTGTCAAATAGGAGGTTCTTCGATAAGATTCCGAGGAGGACAGTAGGGCTTACTGCTATGAAGTATCATGTCTGTAGCAAACGTGAGTTAAAATGTGACCATCGGATCAGAATTCTGTCTAAACAGAGAATCTCTCGTAACAGAGTTTCCTCCCTTCTGTGTTGGCTCAAAGCTGTAACTTGGCATCCACAAGGTACGATAACAGGACATGTATTATCAGATAACAGACATACGCCCTTCACTTACATGAGGAGTCTTAAAAGGGAACAGGGAGTAGATTGTAAGTAGCTAGGTTTACACCCGTGCTGAGATCATCAAAGCTCCTAACATCTGGGAGAGGGAATCTGCTAGCCTGGCGGGCTATAGTCTAGGAAGACTGGCTTGAGGAAAATATCTACCTTTTTTTTTAGGGGTAGAATGGCCGACTAGTCCCCATTGATATTGGAAAGGTGATGACACACAGAAATTCTTCGTGTGACAGCAGAGTGTATGAAAAAAGAGCTTAGTAAAGTGGGCAACAGATGTCCAAAGACAGTTCCTACCTTGATACAGGGACACTTAGGTGCTAAGTTGAAACCATTCATTTCCTGTCCTGTTGATCTGTCCTGTTGACCAGCCCACGTTTAAAGGCTGTTTTAATTCTTCCTCAATAGACTCTGCAAAAAAAAAAAAAAAAAAAGCCCTGAACGAGAAATAGTTCTATGATATGCTCAAGACAGACAGTTCTCAGCTATAATCTTATGTAAATTAACAGCAGGAAAAATAGGAGGAAAGAAAAAAAAAAGAAAAGAAACTTTCCAGCACACTTGCTTTCATTTATCTTTCCTCATATTTTTCCTTAGTACTTCAATATAGCAGTGTTAGAAATACAATGGTTTATGAATTCCTGGGGGTTGAATTCTCGCAGTAATAACATTTAGCACCATAACGTCCTTGGTTTCTATCCACACAGGAACCTTGAGAGCAAGGAAAATTGCTGTCCTCTCTCACAGCGAGGCATTTCATTGTGTGGTCCTGCCAGCGTGACCCTAATGAGAAGAAGTCCAGGCTTCAGTTTGGGTTTAGAATTCAGTGACAGTTTGATTGTGGACTCAACCTTCTCTGCTACTGTTGGAATGTGAGTTGCACGCTGAATTAATGAGCAGAAAGACCAGAGCTTTGAGCCTGCCTAATGTATCTCTAGTTTCCTTCGCTTTATTTTGATTGGTATATTTTATTTTTGTATCTTGATCCAAAATTCATTTGCATATATATATACACACACACATATGCGCGCGCGCACACACACACACACACATATATATTTGCACACTAAGATCATTTGAGGAACAATAGACTTGTAAAAAAAACACTGGAAATCAGTTACCTCCAGGCACCCACCAATTGGCTGAGGTGTGTCCTTTATAGACAGCTACTGGTAAAATTCTTGCTTTTAAAAATCCTGTCATCAAACCCCATGATAGCTTTCCATTGCTACTATCTGTCTTTTGCCTCTCGATAAACATGAAGAACACTTTCTATTTCTTGCTGCAAGTTAATGCTATTTATATTTCAGAAATGCCAGATTCCTTCACAAGTCACTTGAGACCCAGTGGCAAGAATGAATTACCCTGAACTGTCTGTCTCTCTCCTGACAGGTCTGCCTGGGAAAGCAGCTTGCCTGGAGCGGTGTTCATTGTTATTTCACAATTTGAGAGCCAGCAAGAGGCAGTTTTACAAATTTCTAACATAAGGCATAAAATGAAATTCAACAGGAACCGATCTTTCTTTTTTTAAAATTCCTGGCTTTGACCAAATGAGTAGGGACTGACATATTTTGAATTACTTAGTGTATGTACTATAGTGTTTCTAGGCAGTTTAATCTTATAATCATTGCTCCGGGGAGAAATATATTAAAGTTTATTGGCAAACACATTTCCCTGATTTCCTTTCATCCTAAAATAAAACGATGAATTAAGACTTAGCACATATATTAGCATTTAGTATTTGGTATAGTTTTCACTTCGCATGTGCAAATAGAGATCTGTACCCTGTAGCAACCAATTAGAATACATGTGCTGATATTATATAATTTTAAATTAGTACAATGGCTGAGCTGAGGGTTTTAGCTAGCAAAAAAAATATTATTTTATAAATTAATTAAATAGGGTAAAATTTGATATAGTTTGTGTTATCTATAATATTTATTAATATGAAATTCATGTTCTTTTATTTATTCTAGAAATAAGTCTACAATGTTGTGACTATTTCTGTAATAATTATGCAACCCACAAGACTGTTAATCCAAGACAATTGATTCAGCATTTCTTCGTGATTTCTGTGCTTCCCGGATAAGCCCAAGGTAAACACCTGCATGGTTGAAATGCTCAGCGTTGCCCAGGCTCCCTGGGGAATGTCAAAGATAAACAGATTTCCCCAAATATTAGCACTAAAAATCCTCCTTTTACAGTGAAAGTTCATGTTTAAGGAGACGGAATTTCCCACCCCGGTAATAATATTTCATCAATAGAAAATGCAGGTCTTGCCTCTTGTTCAAATTTTAAAATGAAGTCTTCTTACCATGCTATTTCCGATTAATAATAGTCATGATTACATCACATCAATAATAACTAGTATTTATTTAGCTCTTGGGTGTATGTCAGATGTCATATTAAGCACCTTTTTGCATCGCTTTAATTCACTCTCATAATAACCACGTGAGGTAGGTGGCTCCATTTTACAAGCAAAAAATTAAAATATCTGAAGGTTTTTAGAGAGGTGACATCATCTTATCATCACCAAGTGAGCAAACGGTGAATGTAGGAGTCAAACCAAGACATCCTTCACCCAGTGCCTGAAGTCTTAAAAAGAAAATATTTTCATTAGTCATCAGTTTCATGATAATAAAAATAATGTCTTAGCAAGAAAAATATTTCTGTTCAAATGCTCTTTTCAAGTACTGAGGGTAACAGGTTTCTTAATAACTACTTGCAGCCTAGTGTCTCAATTTCGTCCTCCTGAGTCAAGCTTACCGTCTGCTAAACCAAGTCCCATTGATTTCATTGCATAATTTTCCTCCATTTATTTCTCTCGCTCTCCATCATTAAAATCTAGTTCAACCTATTATACAAACATTTCTTGCTGAATTCTTTTCTAAAAAGCTCTCTAAGTAGTCTCTCCTGAGCCACTGCAAGCATCACTTTCCCGTAATCCATTCTCCACTGTACAACCACAGCCTTCTCAAAACACAAATTT